AGAGTGGAGTTTCCTATTCTTGGGCAGTGTGCTTATGACCAGCTCCGGTTTGACAGCAAAGGTCTCACTCCGAATCAGTCGAGCAGCATTATCTATTCATTGGCTGCATAATGGCGTATGGATGCTACCTGGTATATCACTCCACACGAAGCTTCAGGTCTTCTCAGCCACAGTCATGCTCTCTCTTCTCTACGCTTGCGAAATGCGGACCCCCCTAAAGAACATATTCGCTGGTTAAAAACATTCAAGTTAGCCTGCCTTTGATCCATCCTGGGTTTAACTAGACTGTATTGTGTGAGGAGCTCACAAATCCTTGAAATATCTGGACAGAGTCGCATCTGCGAATACCTCTGGCAGCCAAGGCTGCATTGGCTGGGTCATGTAGCCCGCATGCCCAGCCACCACATGCCCAAACAGCTGCTGTTTGGCCATATAGAGATGGCTAAACGGATACCACACGGGTTAGAGAAGAGGTGGAATGATGTGGTACGAGAATATGGAGCCGAGTGGACTTGCCATTCACTAGTACCATCGGTGTCAAGATTAGATAAAGGAGGCTCGTGAAGGACACTACTGGGTATTTGGAGACAGATGCCCTACAGCAACAACAGAGGGTAGAGGAACAACGCTCACAACAATAAGTGGAGCACCGGGTGGCTAAAACACAGCAAGTTGGAACAGTTAGGCACACAGGTGGTGCATCGGCCAGTAATCTCAGTCAGTCAACCCATAGAACCTGGATCTGTCCCATGACCTACCAGCAGGCGTTCGACACTTCACATGGCCCTAAGGTGCATCATATAGCCTGGCACAAGCGCAGTGCTGAATTCACTACCACTTCGTGGCGAATGGCGGTTGTTGTTGTTGCTGGGTGTGTAAGTGGGCGAGTGAGTGCATGAATGGGTGACCGAGTGGATTAGTAGGTAAGTTGGTGGCTGAGCGAGTGGGTAAACTGCTCTTTACTTTTTAGTTCTGGTCGTGTACCCTGCAGGTTTTTTTCTGCTTTTGCTTCATGGACGCTTTCGTGGGATCGACAGATGAAATCCACAACTTTACAAATGTACATTAACGTAAAATGTATTATTATCCATACAATGCAATGCAATTAGTCTAAATGCAACCATATATGCAGATGTGTCACAGACGGGAAACCCCTTTATGTTTAGCTTTGAAAACAAATGGGGGTTTAAGTCTTGAGTTGAAGAAAGGGAGAGTCTGAACTGCATAATAATTCAAAAGGAAGACAAAAGGAGAGCATAAAGAGAAGTCTAGAATTAGCCACCTACCATGAAATTAAGTTTGATAGTGGAAGTTGCCTTTAGTTATCATCTTATCTTTCAAAGATTTATATACCAGCGCCTTAATCCAAAGTGCTTTTCAACAATAGTGGGGTTGCTATTTATTCATTATTAGGAAGCCATGGGAGCTATGCACTTTTAAATAATCTAGAACAGGGGTCCCCAACCCCCGGGCCGTGAACCGGTACTGGTCCGTGGCCTGTTAGGAACCAGGCCGCACAGCAGGAAGTGAGCAATTATTTTATTTACCACTTCCATCCGCGCCTCTTTCCCAAACTGCGCACGTGTCTCAGTTTTGTTAAGCCCACAAGCTAACCCTAGCCAAAATGAGTAAAAAACAAACGTCGCTGGATAGCTTCTTTGAAAAGGGGGAAAGACCCAATAATGACCCCCCCCCTTCCCGGTCCGTGAAAAAAATGTCTTCCACGAAAACCGGTCCCTAGTGCCAACAAGGTTGGGGACCGCTGATCTAGAATGAAAACTAATTTCTTTAGAAGAGTTTGGTGTTGTGTTTAGTTTGCTGTACTTCCACTCACACCTTCGATTAGCATGGTTGGCTATGTACGGTGTGAAAGAAGTAACATGTTGCACTTTCAGACTGTTGAGTTCGGTTTCAGACTGATGGCTACACATGTATTTGTTCAATCGGACTCTTGCACGGCACAGAGGGAACACTTCATTATGGTGACTTCAACTGGGTTTATTAGCGCAACCAATTACAGACTCTGCACATACACGTGCACACGCTTTTTCTAGTGTTGTTACTGATGCTGCCAGGACCACTGCCACTGCCAGTTCTGCTCCTGCTGCTGGTACCGGTGCTGGCGGTGCTGGCAGTGCTGGTACTGCTGCCGCTGCCTTGTTCTGCTCCTGCCGCGCCCTGTGGTGTTCAACTGAGCTGACTTTACAGGGGGTACCCCACCCCCATGCCTTTGTCTTGGCCTGGACCGGTCTCAAAACCCGAATCTCTGCCTGTGACAGCTCTGGAGCAGAATTAACTCCCCTGCTCAGACCTACAGGTTTCACTGAACTGTCGAGTACAAATTGAAAAAGGGGGAGGGAGGACTTATCACAATCCATTGTGCTACATATACGTACACTGTACAATACACCACTACACACTACTTTATACTACACTATGCACTACACTATACTAAATTGAAAACCAATTTCTTCATAAATACTTGTGTTTAGTTCATTGTCTTTTCTCGCACCTCCGATTTGCATGGTTGGCTACATATTGTTGCAAAAGAAGTTCAACATACACTGTACATTCTTTGTACATTTCCCCAGCGGAAGCTATCCCTGTGCAGCAGCCAACACTCAACAGCAAGAAGACGCCTGGATTCGATGTCCGACGTAAGCACAAAGCTACGGGGAGTATGTGGCGAGATATTGCCTCCCTCGCCTGGTATTTAGCAGGTCGTGGGTTCGATCTCGACCCTGACACCTCTATATTTGTAGTTTTGAATGTCTCTCTCGCTCCCCGTGGTCTCGTGGATTTTTTCCGGGTCCTCTGTTTCTTCCCTATACATTTAGAATCAACATGAGTTTAGAGTCTTTGGCTGCTCTGAATTTCCACATGATAAGACACTTCGTTGAACTTCAATTTGTGGCCAGGTTGCTTCTGAGAAAGAGCTATAAAGATTTACCTGGTAAAATAGAAATATAATATTTTAAATTGTTTCACGTTATCCCCATGTTCAAAAGTGTGTGAGTGAGAGTGCTTGATGGCATAACATAGTTCATGCTCCAGTCATCAGGCATAAATGCTGATAAATGTTTAACTTCTTTTGCACTATGCATAACCAACTGTGCTTATTGGAGGTGGTGTATGATAATCCAAGATGGTAATGTGTGCTTCTATGGGTCTCTTTGCGATTCTATGGGTCTTTGTGCGATTCTGTGAGTCTCAGTTTGAATCTATGGATCTCTGTTGTGAGTCTATGGGATGACGTGGCTCTATGGGAGTTTCTGTGTCTCTATGCGAGTCTATGCATCTATGTGTGAGTCTATTTGATGCAGTGTCTCTGTGTGAGTCTCTGGGTATCTGTTCGAGTAAATGGTTCTCTGTGTCTCTCTATATGAGTCTGTGTCTCTATGAGAGTATATGGGTCTCTGTGTGAGTCGTGTCTTTATGTGAGTCTATGGGTCTTTGTGTAATTCCTGGGGCTCTCTTTGTGAGTGTATTATGTAAAACTTCTTTCGCATCGTACGTATCCAACCGTGTTAATCGAAAGAGTTATAAAGAAATCAGTTTTCAATCTGGATTTAAAAGTGCATAGCTCCAGTGGCTTCCTAATATCGGAAGGAAGAGCATTCCAGATGACCGCAGAAGCGCATCTAAAAGCACACGATGTGGTGGAGCTGCTTCGCACCACCATGATATTTTCCCATCATAAGAAAGAAACTAAACAAACTATTTTATTTCACCATGTAAGGCCCACTGAGCTGTATAACTCTTTTTTCTAAGTGACCTAGCCACAAACGATAGCTCAACAAAGTGGCTTATGTGGAAATTCAGAGAAGCCAAATACTCTAAACTCATGTTGATTCTACATGTAGAGGTAAAATTGGAGTAGCTGTAGAAAATCCATGCAACCGCGGGGAGAGAAGGACATGCAAACTCCAAATATACAGCAGGCATCAGGGTTGGGATCGAACCCACGAACTCCTGTATACCAGGCGAGGCAGTTAACATCTCCTCACCATGGGGAGAGAGACATGCAAACTCCAAATATATAGCAGGTGTCAGGGTCTGGATCGAACCCACGACATCCTGTATACCAGACGAGGTAAATACTATCTTCTAGCCACTGTGGCAGCCCAACTAGTCAACCAGGTCTGTGCACAGTACTTGCGATGTTCTTATAAAATAGTCACGGTCAAGTCAGCAGTTTCTAACTTGGGTAGTGGATTCGAATAAAGTGCACACAACTTCTTCGGAGGCAACACTTATTTATTAATGAACACAACAGTTAACTCTTACATTACACATAGGGTGGTGACCACCGACCTACTCTAGCTAACACACACTTCTCTAACTCTCAGATACTCTAGCGTGACCAAGCCAGGTGGGCTACTGCCAGGTCCGCTGACTGGAGGCTTGACTCTTCTTGGCGTCTTCACGATGCATCTTCGTTCTTGATACGGGCAGCCTTGAACCTCGTGAGGAGGCTGCTTATATGGGCCTCGGCGTGCCCGGGCCCCGCCCCAGCCACGCCTCCCTTCAAGAACCCTCTCGAAGCCCTCCTGCTGTCCACGTGCCCCCCGAGGTGCCCCCTAGGCCCCCGGCCCCCACTGGGGTCCAGTCACGTGTCCAGCCGGGGTCACAGAGTGCCACGACCTCACACCACCCTCGTGGCCTCCCGAGTCCAGAACCATCCCTGACGTCATTCCCGCCTCCAGCCGGGATGACGTCATGTGTGTGTGTAAACCGGCATGGTCGTGACGCTCCCCCGCATAGTGATGTCACACGTGTGTTTGTGTACACAATAATGATGCTACAATCACTACACTTGTATTCATGTTGGCGTCAGTGAATGGATGAGTGAGTGACTTGATGAGTGGATGAGTCAGTGGGTGGTGGATGAGTGCGGGAGTGGGTCAGCGAAAGAAAAAGAGGGAGGAGTGACGAATATTAAGGTGGAGGAACGGAGTAGGACAAAGACGATTCTGGAATGGTTACCAAAAGGCACTCACCACGCGGTGAGCAGACGTACTGAAGCCTCGTGCAGCAGTTGGCGCTGGGGTGTCTTGCCATGGCCCCATGGCAACTGGCATCACTGCAGTAGTGGGGAGGGTCGTCCTCTCTTGTGACCGGCATCCCTGCATCCAGCTCATGGAAAAGTGGTCAGCCTAGGCATCCCTATGGGTCTACATGGAGTCTTTACGTTTCTGTGTGAGTCTGTGGATGTCTGTGTGACTCGATGTTTTTCTGTGTTAGTCTATGGGTTTATGTGTGAGTCTATGGGTCTCTATATAAGTTTACAAGTGGGATGTACCCGGCGTTGCCTGGGGGGAAAATATATTTAAAAACTTATCTTAAAAATGTAGCATATACTCTTTGGTTCTATTCGGTAAAGTCACATAGTTAAAAAATAAAACAACAAAAATCACGACGTTTTGGCCACAACACAAGTGGCCTTCATTAGGTGAAGGGGACCATACTGTCCAGAGGACAGCGTTGGAGTGAAGACAGCCAAGCCCAGGTCGTGTCCTTTAAGCTGTGTGGGAGAAAACAAAAAAACGCTTTGACAAAGGAATTAGCATAAAATGCACGTAGAGGACCGGCACGGGGGGGGGGGGGGGGGGGGAAATAAGCTGCTGTGAAGTTTGGGATACCACTACTTGAATAAATATACTGTACTATTGAAAATTATTTTAATGTTTGGTACGATTTAGAACATCTTTCCAATGATTGCTTAGTTTGAAACCATCTTCTCGGTTGAAATTGTCTGTGTTTGTAAATTTGAATTGCCTCGTGGACAAATCTCTGATAAAAACCCGTGGGTTGCAGAGAACCTTGGTATCGGAGAAAACTATATCGTGATCACCCACAGCGTTGTAACAGTGATCAGCTACGGCAGAAGAATTCGTTCTGCCGTGTTTCAAATCTGATTTGTGCTCGCGAATTCGGTCAGAGACATGTCGTTTCGTCTCCCCGATATAGCAATCACCACAGGTGCAGCTCAATTTGTAAACCCCGGGGTACTGTAAGTCAGGAATGACATCCTTTCTAGATTTTAAGCTTTCGTGACTGCAAGGATCCATACTCTTTGGTTCTATTCGGTAAAGTCACGTAGGTAAAAATAAAATAACAAAAAACACGACGTTTCGGCCACAACACAAGTGGCCTTCATCATGACATCCTTCACGGATGGGATCAGGTCACGGATTTTGTGTACTGTATTGAACTGGACCAGGATCTTGTGTTTGTTTAGAATTTTGGAGATCTTTTTAGTAACGCCTGTTATACATGGTAGTGTGATGGTTTTGATCGGAGTATCAAGTGGTTGTTTCTGTATGGAGGGAGAAACAGCTTGGCGGATGGTACAGTCAGAGTATCCGTTCCTCTTGAGGGCCAGATGTACATGTTTTAATTCACTGGTCAGGTGGTGTTGGTCCGAAATGCAATGAGCCCTGTGGTATAACGTTTTGATGAGAGAATTATTTTGAGTCGGGTGGTGGTGGGAATCAGGTTTCAAGTAGGAATCTGTGTGGGTGGGTTTCCTGTAGACAGAATGTTCCAATGAGCCATTGGGTCTCCTCTTAAACAGAACATCCAAGAATCTGTTTCGAATTCAGATTCTGTTTAAGGCCAGCCTATCTTTAATCTCAGAGAGGATAAGGCTACTCCGATTTGAACTCGATACTTTAGACAGGACGCTCCTACAAGCTCATTTAATGTTAATACAAAAAATGTCACCTTCTGATTGGAACCATGCAGACAACATGACTGCTTCTTCTGCTGATTCACTATCAGTCAAATGCAAAGCTAACCTGATTTCTTAATTCAACCACCTATCAAAGGAGAACCCAGTCCCACATATAACAAAACTAGACGTTAACAAAATCGTCATTAATCAGAGTAGCACCCCGATTTCGGACAATCTGAAAACAGTACTGGCTAGAGGGCTAAATTTTGCTGTCACCCCAAAACATATACCTGTAGATGATATCATCTCTCAGGTCGATGTAGCCCTCAAAGTCGTAGGACACATCCAAGCAGACGTTGTGAGAGCTGAAATAGCCACTATTCTTAAGAATGCTAAGAAACCCATTAGCAACATCAGCAAAAATGAACGCTCTGAACTCGCGAATTTTAAAAACAGAAATGATATAGTCATCCTCTCAGCCGACAAAGGCAACGCTACTGTAATTATGGATAAAGATTCATACAACAACAAAATCCAGAACCTGCTCAACGATGGAAGTTACTCAATAAATAAAAATGACCCTACTAATAGCCTAACGATAAAAACCAACAAGATCATCACAAGTTCGACCTCCCTAATCGAACCAACTAAACGTCCCTCCCTAAAACCTTCTGCTGCAAGACCCCCTAGATTCTATGGTCTTCCCAAGATTCATAAAGAAGGCACCCCACTACGACCCATGGTATCCACGATCAACTCCCCTACCTATAGACTAGCCCATTTTCTGTCAGATACCTTGCTGCCTTTCACTGGCAAGACCTCCTCAGAAGTACTTAACTCAGCCCAATTGGTCTCTATGGTCAAAGACGTTGTACTGTCCCCTGACGATATCCTTGTCAGCTTCGATGTGGTCTCTTTGTTCACCAAGGTCCCAGTACCTGATACCATTAAAATAATTTAAAATTTGGTCCAACATGGACTAGACCCTGATACACCTGTGCTGGTTAGGCACTGCCTCACAATACCTACTTTACTTGGAATGGCACCTTCTACAAACAAAATGAGGGTACCCCCATGGGATCCCTTTGTCACGAGTGATAGACAATGTTTTCATGGAGAAATTTGAATCAGACGCCATCCAGACTTCCACCCTCAGACCTTCCCTGTGGAAGAGATATGTAGACGACACTTTCGTCATTTGGCCACATGGCCTCTCAGCTTTGAACCTTTTCCTAGACCACATCAATTCGAGACATCCCGCCATCAAATTCACCATGGAAGTGGAGAATGATGGCAAGTTACCATTCTTGGATGTTCTGTTTGAGAGGAGACCTGATGGCTCATTGGGACATTCTGTCTACAGGAAAACCTACCCACACAGATTCCTACTTGAAACCTGATTCCCACCACCACCCGACTCAAAATAATTATCTCATCAAAACGTTATACCACAGGGCTTATTGCATTTCGGACCAACACCACCTGACCAGTGAATTAAAACATGTACATCTGGCCCTCAAGAGGAACGGATACTCTGACCGTACCATCCGCCAAGCTGTTTCTCCCTCCATACAGAAACAACCACTTGATACTCCGATCAAAAACATCACACTACCATATATAGCAGGCGTTACTAAAAAGATCTCCAAAATTCTAAACAAACACAAGATCCTGGTCCGGTTCAATACAGTACACAAAATCCGTGACCTGATCCCATCCGTGAAGGATGTCATTCCTGACTTACAGTACCCCGGGGTTTACAAATTGAGCTGTACCTGTGGTGATTGCTATATTGGGGAGACGAAACGACATGTCTCTGACCGAATTCGCGAGCACAAATCAGACTTGAAACACGGCAGAATGAATTCTTCTGCCGTAGCTGATCACTGTTACAACGCTGTGGGTGATCACGATATAGTTTTCTCCGATACCAAGGTTCTCTGCAAACCCACGGGTTTTTATCAGAGATTTGTCCACGAGGCAATTCAGATTTACAAACACAGACACAATTTCAACCGAGAAGATGGTTTCAAATTAAGCAATCATTGGAAAGATGTTCTAAATCATACCAACATTAAACTAATTTTCAATGGTACAGTATATTGATTCAAGTAGTGGTATCCTAAACTTTCACAGCAGCTTATTTCCCTTCACACCAACATTTGTAAACTCTCCCCCCCCCCCCCCCCGTGCCGGTCCTCTACAGCATGTTATGCTAATTCCTTTGTCAAAGCGTTTGGTTTCCTCCCACACAGCTTAAAGGACGCGACCTGAGCTTGGCTGTCTTCACTCCAACGCTGTCCTCTGGACAGTACGGTCCCTTCACCTAATGAAGGCCACTTGTGTTGTGGCCGAAACGTCGTGATTTTTGTTTTATTTTTTTACCTTCGTAACTTTACCGAATAGAACCAAAGGGCATGGATCCTTGCAGTCACAAAAGCTTCAAATCTATAACGTACCATATACATACACAAATACTAAGCTATTGTGAAAGTCCGGCATGCCGTTTGTCCATTTGTCCATCAACAAAGTTACAAGAAGCTTCCATAAGTCCAAAAAGTTCTAGAAAGTGGAGGGTGAATAGTTGATGTAAAAGGTTTCCGAAAAATGTCGACCCCGCTCAAGACATATTTTTACCCCCCCCCCCCCCCCCCCCCCCCCCCCCCCCCCCCCCCCCACGTAAGCATATATACCTACACACCCTAAATACAATAGGGTGAGTAGTATCTAGTGACTCTATAGTAGTATCTGACTCTACAGTAGTATCTGGCTCTACACTAGTATATACTGAATTTATAGTAGCATCTCTTGACTCTATAGTAGTATCTACTGACTCTATAGTAGTTTCTACTGACTCTGTAGGAGTATCTACTGACTCTGATGTTGTATCTAGTGACTATACAGTAGTATCTACTGAGCCCAGAAGTAGCCACTGACTGTATAGTAGTAGCTACTTACTGTAGTAGTATCTACTGACTCTGATGTTGTATCCACTGACTTACAGTAGTATCTACTGAGCCCAAAAGTAGCCATTGACTGTATAGTAATATCTACTGACTGTAGTAGTAGCTATTGACCATAGTAGTACCTACTGACCCTACAGTAGTATCTACCGACTCTATAGTAGCAACTACGAACTCTATAGTCGTATCTGCTGACTCTATAGAAGTATCCACTGAATCTGCAGTAGTATCTAATGATTCTAGTAGTACCTACTAGAATTATGGTAGTATCTATTGACTCTATGTTAGTATCTACTGATTATAGTAGTAACTACTAACTCCATAGTAGTATCTGCTGACTATAGTAGTATCTGCCGACTCTATAGCAGTATCTGCTGACTCTATAGCAGTATCTACTGACTCTATAGTCGCATCTACCGACGCTGCAGCAGTATATACTGACTATAGTGGTATCTAATGACTAGTATTATCTACTGACTATAGTATCTACTGACTCT